GAATGGGTTACACATCTCGGAATCGAAAAAAACTCCTAATAATGGGAATGAACAGGCATATGTCCAAAGTGGAATGTAAGATTCCATACTATAAAACAAAATACCCCGAACGAATTTTCATTCATCGAAGAAAGAGAGTAAGGGCGTACTCACCCTAGCATTATCTCAATTGTATCTGATCGCATTCACCGCTATACTTGGATGTTTCTGGCCGCAATTCCTTACAGAATTGCGTGAAAAGCCTTAGCATGGATGTGCCCTAAGAAAGCCCGTGGGGAACTGTTCTAAAGGCGGTTGCGGCCATATGACCGCAATCGTGCAACCCTTCACCTATCCTCTTGATAATGAGCAACAGAGGTAATAGGGGTTGCCTTTCCTGCCGACTTAAGAGAGTCAGGCAAGGATTTGCCCAAGGGAGGAGCCATCACTCACCTTCTGAAGTCTCGGGTCTTCAGCAAATGTTCAGAGAAATTTGGTTCCTGACTTCGCCTTTTCCAATCCGGGAGTTGCATTCTCTTCAACTGGTGCAATGGCCAACTGGAGACGAGAGTGCTTCTCAGCACCTCATCCTCGTCATGATCGGTTGTATATGTTTGAGGACTTAGCCCCGACATGTAACACACGCTTTCAACTAATAAACCTCATGGGATATCTCAGTCGTGGTGCTTCCCCTACGAGCATCGGCTTGGATAACCATAGCCAACGTCGCATTAGGGTTACTCAGTGACCTAGTTCGTCACTTCGCATTCGCGCAGGCGCAACGCGGCGCCGCAGGGAACACTACCGGTCGCCTCTCTCCCACTCGGGTATTTTTTAATCACGCTTGGAACTCGAGTGCGCACTCGAGTTTCAAGTCGAATGTGATTTTTTAGTTGCAAAGACAAACCGAACTGCAAAATCAAGGACAAAAAATGGCAATGCATTGAAACGGAAAAACAGAAGTGCAATTTCAAATAATTTAAATGAAATGAATTGGAAGATTTTCAACCATCATCATTACACTTACATCTGGATTTTTGGGTTTTTTTTTTTTTTTTTTGCTTTTTTTTCCTGGGAGCTTCGTTGATTCTTACACAAGCTGCTCATTCTAGAGAACTACACGTGTGTCATCTTATCCACTCCCATCGATATTCCGATTCCCTCACTACTATTCCGAGGTTCTCCCACTTCTACCATGATTCCCCCACTGCCGTGCCGATCCCAATCACGATGGATGGTCCCTGAGCACAGATGATATGCATAAATTGAGATATACTAAAAAAAAAAAAAAAAAAACGACACACACACACACATACACACACATAAAACTATGGCAGTGAATATTTGCATATTGTAGCGGTCCACAGAGCCGTGATATTGAAGCCTTACGTGTTCTCTCTCTCTCTCTCTCTCTCTCTCTCTCTCTCTCTCTCTCTCTCTCTCTCTCTCTCTCTCTCTCTTTGTCTCTCTCTCTCTCTCTCTATGTGTGTATGTGTCACAAACACACACACACACGCGCATACATACTGATCCCCGATTCCCTCACTGCTATCCCGATCCCAATCCCTCCCCATTCTTCCTCCCCTCCGACCCTCCTCAGGCTGGCTGCAAGGCTGACGTGGCAGTCACCACGTGTGCTATCTTATCCATTCCCGTCGGTATCCCGATTCTCCCACCACTATCCCGGCGTACTTCCCTGATCTCATCTTACTCTCTTCTCCCACTACTTCTCTGATTCCCTCATCGCTATCCCAATCCGGATTGCGACAAAGAATTGTGCCATAAGAATAGGGTACAAATGATACGCATAAATCGAGAAATGTTAAAAAAAAGGAAAAAACGACAGTGAATATTTCCATGTTGTAGCGGTGGATTCAGAGATCACTTACGCACGTGATTTGATCAACCTCCTTCCCTCTTATGGCGATCCCTCCTCTCCCCCCTCCCCCCCCCTTCGATTTGTAACAGAATCAAATCAGGCCCTAATGATGCTGTAACTCACAGATGCTGCTTTAGCGCATTCACGTACGAACATGAAGATTAACGAAAGCAATACACGACTTCATTGTTATTCGAAACTCAGAACGCGCACGTTGCCATAATTATGTGCACAG